CCCCCCAAGAACCTTCTTGATCAAATCCATGGCCATTAATCTTCCTATCCCTCAACTGGCCTTATGCCCAGATCCCCTAGCCAAACTGATTAACCCAGGCTTTCCACCCACCTAAGAGGTGTGTAACCTCGAGCTGCAACCGATCAGAGCATCCCCATGGGCAGATAAATATGAACTAATGTTTCTTTACTTCTTCCCTGATGACTCATTAGCCAGCCAGGAACCAGACATAGAGGCTGCCTACATGGCAAAGAAATGGAGGCAGAAGGTAGGGCGGGGAAGGGACTATAATAGGAGCTGAAGACCCAGCTAGAAAGATCAAGTCTCACTTACTTGGGAGAGAGCTGATCCACAGCTCTGGAGAGCTATAGAAGGGCTGTATAGGTGCCTGGGGTACATCTATTTCCAGAGGTTCAGTTTTGGGCCACACTGCTTCGGGGCTGCAGTTGCCCACACTGGCTGGTGCCATGGGAGAACCTAGAACAGAAAGATGTGGGTGAGCAGGCATGGGGGCACCACATATGTACATCACCTGGCTTGGGGCTCTAAAACCTAACAAGGTCAACAGACAAGAGTCAAACACTGGACTATGACTCAGTGCGGCAGCCCTTCAATGATTTCCACAATTAACACAATAAGAAACACAGTTCCCCTACTTCTACTTCCTAATCATATTAGTTCTCCCATAAACTCATAGTTCTGAAGACGTGCGTTTGCTGAAGATTACCAGACATGTGAGTTTTCTCTGGGGTTAAATTAGAATGAGCATGGATGAAAGGTTCCCTGTTGCAGATTTTCACCCCAGCAATTACATAGGAGTTGATTGTCTTCTATAAAATGAACTCAATTGAGTTAGCTGATTAGCTTTGAGTGTTTACAAATTCCATTAAAAACATACTTTCACATGCAGGAAACATCTGGAAGGATACCCAAAAATCTGAAAGGATCAGTTTCTTCCAGGGAAACTGAACAGGGGGCTCAGAGACAGGAAGGAAGGAAAAACTTTCAATTGATTATCTTTTTGTACCATTATGAATTTTAAACCATGGAAGACCAGTATTTATTCAAAAGAATACAATTAAAGCTTTTAAGAAAGAAAATGAAATACCCATCCTATTTTCTTGCTATTCTCAAAGTTGGTTCACTCCAAAGTCTACAGATTTCTCCTCCTAGCCTCACCTCTTAGGCATCTATTCTTCAACAATTCTTCTTACTCTGCCCCAACAGCTCTGAAATCATAGAAGTTAATGTTTCTTTGACCCTTCGTGCAAAAGTCTGGTTAAACCTATGTACCCATTTTACTTTTTTTTTTTTATTTTTAAAGATTTATTTATTTGAGAAAGAGCAAGTGCACAAATGGGGGAAGGGCAAAGGGAGAGAGAGAGAGTGGATCCTCAAATAGACTCCCCACTGAGCAGAGAGCCCAACTTGGGGCTCAATCCCAGGACCCTGAGATCATGACCTGAGTGGAAATCAACAGTCAGACATCCAACCAACTAAGCCACCCAGGTGCCCCTACTTTTTAAATAGATGTCCCACATCTTCCCCAAAAGAATCCAAAGCAACCCCTAACATAAGGCCACACAATATTTGCTTTGGTAAAATATGAACAGAAATAGGAAATCAGGATCCTGGAAATAGGTTGCATCCTTTTAAGGGGTGAAAACAACAGAATGAGCCAGCCAAGGATTTGGGAAAGGATCTCATATTTCCAGATATCCAACTCAAATCACTAAGTGGGAATGTAACATGTGGCAATATTGACCTGAAAGAGCTCAATGTTATTTTTCTTTACTCATCACTTGGTTGTAAAGATATAAATGGTAGGTTAAGTGAAGGAGGGAAGTGGACAGATAATAAGAGTCGTTCCTGATTCTCAAAGGTAAGGGAATCACCTAAAGTAGGGGACTCCAAAATCCCAAAGGAATCATCTTGATAAATTTTCTAAGTGGCACGAGGACCTCATTTGACCCATAGCAGTGTGATGGAACTAGAAAACACAGTGAGGAGCTTCTCAACTAAATGCATGGCATTAGACTAGGAGCATTTCAGTGGACAGTTCAAGTGAAGATGCCGAAGAGCACTTCACCTTGTGTTTGAGCATCCTCCAAATGTGCGCTGGAAGAGTCAGTACCTGCTCTGTCACAGTGATCTTCCAACCTCTCAACTCATTTTTCCTAGGAAGCTGAATTCAAAAAGTCCATAAAAGAAGCAAAAAGTCTCTTGCAGATAACTTCTATCAAAGCCTAGTATTAAGAGCTGTAGAAACCACCAGTTTCCCATGACCTAGCCTTAGCAGAGTAGATCCTGCTAAGAAAGTGACACAAAATTTATACCAAGGGAAATAGTGGAAGAGTTTGCCTATAATTCGTCAAAATGATATCTACACTTGGCCTCAAGGAAATCAGTGAAATTTGTAACAATGATGCTTTGTATGTGGGATTGAGAATGAATTTGTTTAATTTCTCAGAATTATCTGTAAGATTCAGAAGATGTTCTCTATGCCTGGAAGCCGCCCACTGGGATAACTGGGCCAGCAGAGTTCCCCTGTCTGTGACCCCTACTTGCTAATAGACCAGCAGCTTGGCCACAGGGCCTTGTCACTGCTCCCAGTGCAGCGGGGGCTGAGGGGGGCCAGTAGCTGTTAATCAAAGCCCGTTCCATCCTCTTCATTCTTCTGTATCCCCTACCACCCTCACTCACCATTGATGTTCAGGAAGGGGAAGGTGTCCTGGATGGGAACATGGTGCTGTGACTGATCAAGCTCATCTTCCTCATCTTCTTCATCTACATCATTATCCTTCTCATCCCAAGGAGCAGATCCAGTGGATCCTAACCGAGAAACAGACACGTAAGCCCTCGAGTGAGTCACTGGGGTTGCACTGTCATCTTTGCAGCTGATCCACTGTACATGCTAGGTACTACCAGCTCCCGGGGTTCAGTGTGCACCCCTAATGCCCTAGCCAAAAAGATTGAGAACCAAAGGTATATGAACCTCTGGCTCTAACTCCTCCTACTGAGCTCTAATGTAAACTCTCTTCCCCTCCCCTACCCAGGAGCTGCAGACCCTATCCCCTTTCCTAGAAATCTCTTAATTCCCACTTTAAACCTCTTGCCACACCTCAGCATCCCTTTTAAGGACTCAAGGACACCAACTTTTCCCCTTTGTAAGCTTAATGTGAGGACAGACCCTTCTCTCTGGGCCTCACTAGGTCCATTGCAGGACAAGTCTAAATTTTCCGGTTCTTGGTACTTGCTGAGCATTGGGGAAATAGGAGGATCGGGTGGTATTCTTTTAGGAAAAGTATCCTACAAATTAAATAATCACTCATCCAACGTTTACAAAGGGAACTTAATAGCTTTTAAATGTCATGTCAATTGAGTCTTAAAATAGTCTTTAAAGTAGGCAGGAAAGATGAGAGCCCAGATTTTACCACTGAAGAAACTGAGGCTCAAGGATCAAATGACTTGATTCCATGTCCCACAAGGAGCAAAGTGATAAGAGCCAGGTTCAGAACTCAAACCTCCTAAGTTTTAATTCCTCCATCTTCAAAACTACCTGACCTCTCCTCTCAGCGTTGAGTCTCAAGGGAAGCTCTTCCTACAGTAGGAGTCTATACTCCCTGTGCTTTCTCATGCTTCAAGCAGTCACGCCAGTAACTATTCCCTAAATGAACAAGAAGATTTTGCTGACTTTAGATCTTCTGTTCTCTGGGTCCTTCCTAGGGAAAGGCTTTCTTGCTTTGTAACTAAACTTTGTAAACAATATTCAAGTCAACTATCTCTTTAAAAGTCCAGCCCAGAACCTGGCTTACTGTCCACCTGTCCCGCCAGCAGCTGGGGCCTCACCTGGGTTAATGATTGATCCCTGAGGCTGCGGGATGTCACACACTTGATATATTTTCACCGGGTTCATGGGTACTTCCTTGGTGCCATCGTACATCAGGTTGAATTCCCTGCTCTTGTTGAGAGCACAGCGGAGCTGGGCCTTCCATTTAGCTGGGTCAGGGTCATCCACCCCTTCCTGGTACTTCCCTGTCTCCACAGCCCAGGCCTGAGGAACAGGAAACCGCAGTGAATGCCTGCCGTTGCCCAGAAACACTGCCAAGTGTGCGCACCCTCTCTCATACACACATGCGCGTACACCCCTGCCTGACTGCCCTGCCATCCGGATCCCCACTTACAGAGCCTGCAGCAAGCAGCACCACCCTCAGGACCAGGCCAGGCAGGGCCTGAGGGAAATTAAGCCATATGCAAACACAATCTTTTGAAAGGAGGAGCCTTATCTCAACTGTTGGTGCCAGCACCACCTGTCAAGAGTGGCTATAATAAGGGTTGGAAATAAAGAAAAGTCTGGAAAAAATACAGTTCACCCTTGAACAATACAGGGGTCAGGAATACCGATCCCCTGCACCGTCAAAAATCCACATATTTAATTTTTGACTCCCCCAAACTTAACTATCTTACTGGTAACAGTTGATTAACACGTATTTTGTATTATAGACTATATTCTTACAACAAAGCAAGCTAAAGAAAATGCTATTAAGAAAATCAGAAGGAGGGCGCCTGGGTGGCTCAGTCGTTAAG